ACTCTGCCTCCGTTCCTGAGGTCCGGAGATAGCTAATGTAACCCACATCTTTTAAAAAGGTTCCAGAGGAGATCTGGGAAATTACAGACCAGTCAATCTAACATCGATACCGGGTAAGTTGGTGGAATCCAGGGCTATTTTGGGGCAGGAACGCACAGGAACGGAGTTCCGGCTGGCTTCAGAGTTGGCCGCACCCACTACAGCCAAAACTTCTGTGTGCGTGGTTACAGAAGGAATGCCTGGAGAGCGGACCTCCCCCCGGCGACTCCAAAGCGGGGGGCGGGTGTGTGTGGAAGGATCAGGGATGCATTTAAATGCCTCCCTGTGCCTTCTCCGGCCTTTCCAAGGGCCGGCTTCCCCAGGCGCCCCGCAGCCGTGGGGCACCCCAGCAAGCCAAGGGAAGGCATGGAGGTGTGGCCTAATATGATAATAAGATGCGCTGTCACGGTGTTGCCTAATGTACTAATGAGTTTCTGCTGTTGGGTGTGGCCTATTATGCTAATGAGTTCCTGCTGGGCTTTTTCTACAAAAAAAGCCCTGGTGGAATCCATTATTAAACATAGAATTAGTAGGCACATTGATGAACAAAAGCTATTGAGGAAGAATCAGCATAGATTTTGTAAGAGAAGATCTTGTCCCACTAACCTTTTAGAGTTCTTTGAGGGGATGAACAAAAATGTGGACAAGGGTGACCCAGTAGATGTTGTTTACCTAGACTTCCAGAAAGCTTTTGATAAAGTTCCTCATCAAAGGCTCCTAAGTAAAATCAGCAGCCATGGGATAAGAGGACAAGTTCTCTTGTGGATTAAAAACTGGCTAATTAACAGGAAACAGAGAGTAAGTATAAATGGACAGTTTTCACAGTGGAGGATGTTAAGCAGTGGGGTATTGCAGGGCTTGGTACTGGTCCTGTGCTTTTTAACTTGTTCATTAATGATTTGGAGTTGGGAGTAAGCAGTGAAGTGGCTGAGTTTGCAGATGACACTAAGTTGTTCAGGGCGGTGAGAACCAGGGAGCACTGTGAGGTGCTCCAGAGGGATCTGTCAAGGCTGAATGAGTGGGCATCAATGTGGCAAATGAGGCTCAAAGTGGGCAAGTGCAAATTAATGCAAATTGGAGCCAAGAATCCTACCTATAAATATATGTTGATGGGGTCCAAACTGGCAGTAACTGACCAGGAAAAATCTTGGAGTCATGGTACATAACTCACTGCAGATGTTGACTCAGTATGCGACAGCAATAAAAACAGCAAATGCTATGCTGGGGATTATTAGGAAAGGGACTGAAAACAAATCAGCCAGTATCATAATGCCCCTGTATAATTCATTGTCGTGTCCTCATTTGGAATACTGTGTATAGTTCTGGTCACTGTATCTCAAACAAAGATACTATAGCATTGGGAAAAGTGCAGAAAAGGGCAACTAAAATGATTAAGGGGATGGAACACCATCCCTATGAAGAAAGGTGAAAGAGGTCAGGGCTCTTTGGCTTGGAGAAACTATGATTGAAGGGTGACATGATAGTGGTTTACAAAATTATGCATGGGATAGAGAAGGCAGAGAAAGAAGTACTTTTCTCCCTTCCTCACAATACAAGAACTCGTGGACACTCAATGAAATTAATGTGCAGTAAGCTTAGAACGGATAAAAGAAGTACTTCTTCACCCAAAGAGTAAGAGTGGAATTCACTGCTGCAGGAAGTGGGGGCAGCTACAATTATAGACAGCTTCAAGGGGCAATTAGATAAATATGAAGCAGAGGTCCATCAGTGGCTATTAGCTGCAAGGTATAGATGGAACACTATGTCTGGGGGCAGTGATAGTCTCTATTCTTGGTGCTTGGGGGGCAGCACTGGGAGGGCTTCTGGAGTTCTGGCCCCGCTGGTGGGTGTCCTGATGGCACCTGGGTTTTGGCTACTGTGTGATACAGAGTGTCGGACTGGATGGGCCTTTGGCCTGATCCTACATGGCTTCTCTTATGTTATAAGAGATTAACAGAGTTGTTTGCCATTCCCTGCATCTGACTTCCTTGCTGGTCTCCCATCAGTACTAATCAGGGCTGACCCTGGTCAGATTCTGAGATTTGATGAGATTGGGCTAGCTTGGGCCATCCAGGGCAAAGATACATTACATCCACTTCAGGTCAGGGCAAAAATACATCACACAGGTAAATTTATTTATCCAGCTATATAGCCCAACTGGTGGCCCTCACTGGTGATGTGCTGACGTTTCTGGAGACATGCTGATGTCACTTCCCACATGACAGGAAGTGACAGCAGTACATCACTAGGGATTAGTTTTGCCCAAATGCCGGAATGTCCTGGTGATACACTGATGTCACTTCCGGTTGCATGGGAAGTGACATCAGCACACTGGGATGGCTGGCTGTCACTCTCTGTTTTCTCTTTTATTTTCTTCCACAGCCCATCTGAGCAGGGATGAGAAGGACCTGTTGGGGGCAGGGGCGGAATTTGGGAACCCTAGTCATAACCCAGCGTGGCTCTCTGTTCATAATCCTGTTTGTCTTTACTGTATTTATTACTGTATTTATTTATAGTCTTCCTTTCTCTCAAAAGTTCAAGGTGGATTACAGTTCTTTTAAAATTACAGTAAAAGCCATGTGATACATCAAGTAAACAATGCAACACAACTGGATAATAAAATTAGAAAATGATGCAATGAAAACATTAGCATGCACACAACAGTCAAATGTGAAAAAACGGGGTTACAAAATTAGAAAACCATGTAACAAAAAACAATGCAACAGCAACAATTATATACATTTAATAATTTGAATAAAGTATACATTAAAAAAGCTGTACTGAATAGCTCTTTGCAGGTGGAGGATCACAAGTTGGAATACTCTAAGGATTGCCAGCTCCTGGTTGGGACATACCTGGAGATTTTGGGGTGGAGCCTTAGGAAGGGCAGGGGGTGGGGAGGGACCTCATTCAGGTATAATCCCTAAGCAGCCATTTTCTCCAGGGAAACTGATCACTGTTGTCTGGAGTTCTGTTCTAAAACCAGGTGATCTCCAGCCCCCATCTGGAGGCTGGCAACCCTAAACACTCTCCTGCATAGACTCCCTGCAAATAGAAAACTGGTGCAGACAACAAGAAAGGGGAATAGAATCTTTCCTCCCGGCAGGGCTAGTTTTTTTAATTGCAGAGTTTCTTTTAAGCAAAGGAACATTCCAACCCCCCCCCATTGTCTGAAATGGTGCAGTCCATCCTATTGCCTCATTTCCACCACATATTCCCCCCCCCACGCATGAACCAGGCCTTTGGGTTTGCTGTAAACAGGTAGCAAAGCAAAGTGATAGAATTGTGCAAGGAAATGAGGTTCACATGTGCAAGGAAATGAGGCCACGGAGTCACTCAAGTTGCTCAGTGCATGTGCAATCCTAGGTAGAATGACCCCAGTTTAAGCCCACTGAAAGTCATTCTGTTTAGGATTGCACTTGCCCTGGAACTGAGACTGGAGTAATTGCCTAGAACTGCACAGTGCAATCCTGTGCAGTTTAAATCCATTGCCTTCCAGAGCTCACAATGCCTAGGATTGCACATGGATATATAGGCCTGGAGAATTTTTGCCAACAGGCCTGGAGAATTTCCCCCCCCCCCTCAGGCTTAATGTGTGTGGAAAGGGATAGCTGAAGCTTCCATGGTGCTGGTCAGTAACATCCCCCAGTAAATAACATTAAGCTATTATTCAAAAGGCAGGACACAGAATTGAAAGGGACCTCAAGGGTCATCTAGTCCACTCCACTATACAATGCAGGAAATTCACAACTACCCCCTCCCTCAGTGACCCCTGAGCCACACCCAGAAGATGGCAAACCCCCTCTCCAGGATCCTTGGCCAAACTGGCCTGGAAAAAGTTGCTTCCTGACTCCAAAAGGGAGACTGGCATTTCCCTGGGCATGTAAGAAAAGGCCAGGAGAACTAAGCCCTGAGGCAACCCTTCCTGCCCTCCCTCTCATGATCTGCCTAAGTGCACAGAATCAGCATTGCTGTCAGATGGCCATCTAGCCTCTGCTTAAAAACATCCAAAGAAGGAGAGCCCACCGCCTCCCAAGGAAGCCTGTTCCACTGTCAGCAATTTCTTCCTAATGTTTAGCTGAAAAGTCTTCTGATTTAATTTCAACCTGTTGGTTCTGGTCTGACCCTCTAGGGCAACAGAAAACAACTTCGCACCATCCTCTATATGACAGCCCTTCAAGTACTTGAAGAGGGTTACCACATCAGCTCTCAGTCGTCTCCTCCCCAGGCTAAACATACCCAGCCCCTTCATCCTTTCCTCATCGGACTTGGTCTCGGGACCGCTCCCAATCTTCGTTGCCCTCCTCTGGACACGTTCCAGCTTGTCTAGATCCATCTTAAATTGTGGTGCCCCAAACGTTTTCCTCCTGGCCTATTGTGGACAACCTTTTTACCTGCATTGCAACTGAGCCTGGAGAAACTCCGCAGAGCAATCCTAAGGGCAACCAGTTCAGTCTAAAATCCGTTGCTTGCGATGGCCTTCGACGGGAGTCCCCCTCTGCTTTCGGCTCGCCACTGTCCACCGGCCTCGCCGGCTCGCTCTTCCCCCCTTCCACCGGCAGGAGGCAGCCTCTGCCTTCCCAATCCCGTCTTCCACCTCCTTTTGCTCGGCCGGAGCCGCTTTACCCCCTTTCTCTCTCTCTCTCTCTCTCTCTCTCTTCTCTCTCCTTCGCTGGCAGCCTGACGTCAGTTCGGTGCTGCTTTCCTCGCCGAGTGTTTCAGTCCCGATCGGGCTCGCTGCGCTTTCGACTGGAGCCGCCGCCGCTCCCAGGGAAGAGGAAGCGACTCCATGGCTCGGCCGGGCAACTTTCCTCGGCGCCTGTGAGCTTTTCTTCGGCGCGAGCGGGGACAGGAGGAAGCCAACGAGCCCCCCCCCCCGCACGCTACACGTCATCTCTGTGTGCTCTGGCTGGGCTCGCCGTGCTCCTTGCAACATGCCCAACGCCCGGGCTTTGATCTTCATGCTCACCTTCCAGATCTGCTCCCTGGAAACCGAAACGCCGACAGGTCAGGACTCAGAGCCAACCAGACCCCCCCCCTTCCCCTTCCCCAACCGAAAGCATGGGACGGCCCTATGGATTGGAGGTTGCATGCGGGCGCATTTTGGGGGGGAAAGTGCGGGCGCCTTCTCGCTCTCCTTTTATTTCCGTACAATTCGCCGCCGCTTCCTTCCTTCCTTCCGCTCCGCTTCCTTGCCTGGAACTTCTGGGAGAAGAGGAGCCAAGCCCGGGAGGCGCAACCGTCGGGTGGGCATTGCAGGCTCCGGGTTTGGCTGGCGTGGATTTTTTTTTTGGGGGGGGGGTGGAGTCGGGAGAGGGGAGGGTGTTTTGCTCTCCCCTGCTGTCGCTGCGGCGGCTGGAGGGGGTGTGTGAGAAAAAGATGGAGAGACACAAAAGTTTGCGAACGGTTTGAGGTTTGCAGAAGGAGAGAACTGCTGGATTAGACGGGGGACGGATTGAGCAATGGGAAATGTTCTCGAAACCACAGAAGGGCGACCCTTCCTCTGCCCGCAAATGCCTCTTTGGGTTGACTCGCCCGGCTCTCTAAGAGGACTGCAGAGATCTTCCAGGCAGTCTAGATTTCCCCTCTCTGGTTGGGTTGGTTCCTGTGTTTTGGCTTTGAGGAAGAAGCAGGGTGTGTGTGTGGGTGGGGGTGGGGGGTCAGTGCTCCCGAAGGCTGGGAAACAGTTCCCAAGGAAGGACTGGGGGACCTGGCCGAACCAGAGATGCCAGTACCTAGCAGAAGTTTTGACCCTGATTCTTCCCCCCTCACCAAAGGATGAATTCTGCCTGTCCTGGTCCAGTGATGTACTTCTTGGTACTTCTGGAGTCTGTTATCAGGCTGTCCTAATGCAACACATGGGTCCTAATGGGGCACCCTCTGCCACATTGCCAGAGCACCTGGGACGCAATTCTTGGGTTGTTATGCTATTTTTCAATGGCTCCCCCCCTTTCCTCTGCTTCCCCTAATGTTTCGCCTGGGCTACCGGTAGATTAAGCTGACCTGGAGGGTCTCATACCATTGGGTGCCCTTTGAGCATCTTGTTGGAGTCTTGTCTGCCCTTGGCATTTGGGAGCTGGGGTGAAGGGAGTTATCAGAATTGGGGGTGATCGTGGGGAAGCTAGATCTGCTTGTTGAACTCTCCCCAGAAGAGAATAGTTTCCCACAGCATGAACGCTACCAACTTTCTACCTTCTTCAGCCCAAAGGGAGGAAGCGACCCACCTAGGTGACTAGAGAAAGTTAGGGTGGGTGTACCTTGAGGTTCTCAAAAACAGAGACTCCGTTTTCTTTCCCTGGTGGTCTGGGGTGGTGGTTAACAAAGGTCTTTGAAATGTCAGATTTATGTCACATCCTTTCCCTAGGAGCCAGGTTGTATTCACTATAATTGTGTTGTGTTGTCATTCATCACTGAATTCCCATTCAGTGTTTCCCTGGATCCTGGGAATGTTCTCTTTTGAGACCCAAAAATATCACCCAAAGAACAAGGAGGCTGAAAAGGAGGTCTTTAAAAAAAAAAAAAAAAGTGGAAGGATAATAATTTGAATGGCACTCCGGTTTAACTGTTTCCCATTGTGACGGCGTCCAGTAGTCCAAAAGCAACATGGCTTGTGTGAAGTCTTTTAGAACATATTGCTTGCAAATACAAATGGGGGGATGGGCATTTCCCCCATTCGTGGATTCACCGCATTTTAAAAATGCCATTTACTTTGCAAGGCTTCCTGGTAAGAGTTCTCCAAAGAGAGGTTTGCTTTTCTTTGTGGCTCACAAACCGTTGCATTTGTGAAAGGTGGCTAGAGGGAAGTGGTGCTTGACCACCCCAAAAGTGGTTTTCTCTTGGGGGGGGAACCCCTTTGCTTCCCTCTCCTTATCCCTGTGTTTGGAAAGGTTTGTCTTTGGCAGTTCCCCTTGGGTCAACATCTGATGTACAACTCTCCCTCTCTGCCTGCCGTAGAAAGAGAAGAGGGATGAAAAGTCATGTATCCGGTGACCAAAGCTGGAATGCAGACAGGATGAGTCCCTTGGTGCAAAAGTGTCGACCTGTTTGCATGGCCACCCATTCCGTAAGGCATCCAGCGCTGGGGAGGATTGGGATCCCGTTCTGCTTCTCATTACGGGCTGTGGCAGGGGAGAGTTGATCCAGATGGAGCGCGTGACTCTGGCGTGCTGTTGGGGACGGGCAGGCTTATATGTGCCTAGCCTTTTCCTGGCGGTGACATCTGGCTGAAAGAGCAGGGAGGTTTTGCAATCGAGGTGGGATCTGGTTCAAAGGAAAACTAATGATCCTCCCAATGTTTTTTTTTTGCTATGTTTGCCTTGCTAGTTGAAAACAGAAAGTGTTGTTTCGGTTTTTCTCCATTGTATTCATTTTCCATTTTTAAAATATGTTCATTTGGGCTGTAGTTTTTAAGAGGGTTGAATTTAGTTTGAGAAATGTTTTGCTTTCTTAGGTTGGACACACACACACACACACACACACACACACTTCTTTTTCTATCCTGCTGCAACTTACATAAAAAGAGCACTGCTGCATCAGACCAGTGGTCCATCTGGCCCAGCATCCTGTTTCCCACAGTGGCCAACCAGTTTGCCCTGGAAGGCTGACAAACAGGGCTCAGAGGTCTCCCTGTGTTGCCTCCAAGCCCTGATATTCGGAGGTTTACTGCCTCTGGACATGGAGGTTCGCTTTAGTCACTGTGTCTAATAACCACTGATGGACCTCTGTTAGATCTGTTGAGTCCCCTTTGAAAACCATCTTCTGGTCAGAGAGCTTTGGAAGGGTCCCAGCATTTGCCTACCAGGTGTACAAAGGAGCTGAGTACCTGCATCACAAGCACTGATCTCTCTGTCAAATTGTCCTCTGTGAAAAATCACTTGTCTCTCTCCAGTTTAAGTTAAGAGCGGCATATGGGACTAGTGCATCAACCTTTGTGTGATGAGATGATGCTATTGCCCCCACCCCGGCAATCTCTAAGGTGCGCCATTAAGAAATGAAGTGCCTGTTTGCTCAGGAGGAAGTCATCTTAGACCCAAATTCCCTCCTGCTCTCATGCTGCTTAGCTGCACACTGTTGACGCAAGCGCGCACACCAAGATACTGTCTTAGGGGTCTTGGGGTCTTCTATGCAACTTTAGATTGTTCTTATTCTCACAGGCCTTTGGTGATTGGTTTTGGCTGATGTGATTTTAGGGAGGGTTTTTCCTATTCATACCATATCATCCTATTCTGATCTGCTCAAAACAGGCTGAGCGATAAGCGCATGAAAAACGTTTAAGGCTGTGTTAACCTTTTTCAAGAGTGGGCTGCGATAAGGATGTCCCCCCTCCTCGTTTTTTGGAGTGATGCACAAGCTCTTTTTATGCACCAAAGCCTTTTTTATTGATGTTTGAGACTTTAGTGCTTCTGTTGTATGTATCTTATGGGGAGCATCTGTTTCTACAATTGTTCCCTATGTGCTGCTTACTTTGTTGTCTTAATCCGGCTAGTTAAATGCATCCTTTTCTGCTGAGCCATGAAACATCTTGGGCCAATTGTTATATCTTAGCCTCACCTGTCTTACAGGGTTGTTGTGAGGGCAGAAGGAGAATGGAAAGATATAACTTATTTATTTGATTAATTAATTCATTTATACCCTGAGTTTCTCTCCAGTGGAAACTCCAAGTGGTTTACATTGTTCTCCTCTCATATATTTTATCCCCACAACAACCCTGTGGGTTAGATTAGATTGAGAGCATGTGAGTGGCCCAACATCATTCAGAAAGCTTCCATGGCGGAGCTGGGATTCGAACCTGGGTCTCACAGATCCTAACCACAACACCACACTGGCTCTCAAGTGCCACCTTAAGCATAGTTACAGCCATGTAAGTGCATTGAAATCAATGGACTTAGAAGGGTGCCCTGACCGGGATAGCCCAGGCAAGCCCGATCTCATCAGCTCTTGGAAGCTAAGCAGGGCTGACCCTGGCAAGTATTTGGATGGGAGACCTCCAAAGAATACCAGGGCCTGGAGGCAGAGGCAGGCTATCAGGCCACTTCTCTGAAGATCCTCCATGCCCCAGTGGGAGTTGCCAAAGGTCACCATGACTTCCAGGCACAGACACGCACACACAATACAAATATACCACAGAGAGAGAGAGAGAAATCAATGGACTTAGAAGGGTACAACTCGGTCTACTAGTTCTTAAACCTTGCTCTTCCTGCAAAGAGTTCAGAGCAGTGTATGAGGTTCTCCCTTGCTACTTTTATCTTCACAACGCCCTCATGAGGTAGGTGAGATTGGGAGAGTGGCTGACTGACCCGTGGTCACCCACAATGCATCTTTGAAGTCAATAGGGTATAACTCTGCTTACAATTGCCCTGCTGGCAAGTTTCCTAGCAGAGCAGAGATCTGAATATGGATCTTTCCAGTACCGTAATCTCTCTGCTTTCCTAAAACACACCCTCGTTTGTGGTGCAACCATTGTCTGTTCCCTACTTTGAACCCTTCAGAGGGAAGGGCAGGTTGAAAACGTAACCTATTAAAAATCCTGGCTGTGCATCTACTGCTGTGTGGCACCGGCACAGCGGTCTCTTCCTCTGTTAACCTGGGTATTAACCCATGTGTAATTGTTCCTCCGAGCGCCTCTCTTTTTGTGGACAGTTCCCACAGCCCAAACAGGAAATGAAATGCTGTTTCCATGGGACGTGTTTCATGCTTCCAAGGGAGGCAGTGGGGGAAACCAGCCAAGTCTGAAAGGCTCCCGGAGATGATGGATTTGCTAAAATAAACACACACACCCATTTCTGCAGTGATGTTCCTGGGGCTGGGGGCGGAGTTTTAGCTGGAGGTTCCTAAGCTAATGGTACTAGGATATGGGTTAGAGATACAGATGAGGGGTGTGTATATGTGTGTGTGACTTTGGCCTGGTGTCAGGATTGAAAAAGATCATAAAACATGGGATTACTGATTCATCCTTGAATGGTTTTCTGTATCTTTCCACAGAGACCAAAAGATTCACTCCAGTGGGA